AAATAACTTTTTTTTTGACTGAAAAAACTAATTGTGACGCTATTCCCCCGCTTTTTGTGTACCTTATTTGCGTCAATGCGACCGAAAATCAATGCTTTAAATTTTTCAATTTGCTTCAATGTAATCAATTGCAGGCTCGCAAATGAAAATTGACGGATGGAAGGCGTTTCCAATGGCTTTGTTTTATTCATTCGCATTTGGTTAGAGGAGAAAATGTGATGAAAAAAAAAACCATATAGGATCCGACGAATTAAACAAAAAAACTAGAATGGATTCAGAAAAGAAGTAGTGAAGAGTGAAGAGTCCCTATTTAGTAAATTTAATTTCAAAATAGAAAAAACAATTTATTTGTTTGACTTTGTCAATAAAAAAAAATATTTTTCGTTATAATGCACACCGTTTCGTTTAGCTCAACAACAAAAATTGAATCCACTTGTGTATTGGTGAACTTTCTTGTTAGAGTGAGATATGTATATATGAACGTAAGAGCTAGCTGTCGCGCTCAAACATAAACACTAACTGACATTCTGGATTTTTCATTTTGGCTGATTCTTATAATTCGCATAAACACGAATTCACAAAGAAAAGTATATATACATTCTGAATGCAGTATATATTAAGCCGCATTATTGGTTTGCATTCACGTGTATGCCTTTGTCGTCGGCCCCGCACACGCAGTGTGGTTGGTTAATAACTAACTGTGCTGCACGACTCACGGTCGGTGCAACATACTGCTCGTTGATGTTCGGTGTTCGGAGAGAAGTGGATTACTCATGAGGTGCCACGCAAGAGTAGTAAAAAGTTTATTTTTTTAACTCGCTTTTGATATAATTTTAATGTTCTCATTGATCCACCATTGAACGATTGACCGATCATTGGATATGATTCATTGAGATATTCTTTTTCGAATTTTTGAAGAAAAAAAAATTAAGAGTTCTTTCATTAATAAGAACTGAATCAAATCTAATTTTTGACCAGAGTATGATAATCTGATGAAACTCGATTACATTATTAATTACAGTCGAAATTTAGTTGAAATTCGGCTATAGACAACAATAAAGACGATAGCAGAAATTGGTTCTTATAAAAACGTCATCATTTTTTCTGTTTCATTCAATCGCATTCACCTGTCTGATTCTTTGGCGTGTATTAAATCATTTTGTTCGTCAGTTTCGTCAGTTACACATTGGTGGTTTTCAACTTGAATGTACATTTACAGTCGAGTGATTCTGGCCACATTAAAATGGCCAAGGACCGAAGCAAAGAAATGCAAAGGAATAGCCCGCGCGCACGCTCAATCGCACATTTGAAAAAAAAATAAGGAAAAATCATCACACGAATGTGTGTTCAGCGGAGGGAACGAAACGCCTTGATTCAAGCAAACCAACGAATGAACCGGCCGACCGACGAAGAATTACAACTGAGAACGTCGCTTCAATTACAAATGCAAAGTAGCTCAAGAATTTCGGTTAAAAGAGATAGTTGTAAATCCGCACGATCAATGCCTCCATAGGTTTTTTTCGTCGTTTATAGAAGGAAAGAGAGGAAGGGACACGCAGACAGGAAATGAACGAAACAATGGGAATATAATTCATTTCTGTTACGAAGCCTCGCGCAATTTTAATTTCACAACCAAATACGTAGTACGTAGAAGCGAAAGACACGAAAAATTGTCACTTAAAATTTTACGCAATGAAATGAGATTGAATAAAATGAGATTCGCCTCAAACATTTGCATATGTTATATTTTCAATTTGTCTCGGCTCAAGACGAATTAGTTGACACAATATCCATATTGTTGATTAGCAATGACAATAACGCATATCTCGATAGCTCAGTACACCAAATGCTTACCTTTCATTAACAAATGAAAGATCGAGCAACAGACGCACTCACTTCAAGCCACTTATATTGGTTTGATTTTCATTTCAGTTGTTATTTTTTTTCTCCTGCTGGCTGTGTTGTCTGTTCATAGCTTTCAGTGATGTCAGAAGCTATGCAACGAACGGAACAAAAGAAATGACGCATTCAATTGTACGGTGAAGAAAAGCAATTGGAACAGATTGCGGTTAACATAATATCCCTTGTGTGTGTGTCTGTGTGTGTGTTGTTCATAAATTTTAATAACATTAAAAGTAAAAGTTGGAATTTCTTTTTTTTTCAACATTTAGAATTATCATTTTTTTGGGTGTTGATGTTTTTTGACCACACATAAGACACAATCAAATTATTATCATTCAAAGAAAAGACGTAGACGAATGAAAAGAAAAACAACCGTAATCACATCAAGGGAGTCAAGGAGTGGACATATTGAACAAGAAAAAAATATGTTACTGAACCCTTTTTTATATCAAACCTGACTACCAACATGACATACACTCACCATCTGGCCGATTGCATTTCATTCAGGTTCACATGTGATGATCGACGAGTTTTCTCTTTCGTGTTAATAGATTTTTGATAGACAATCTTAACAGTTAGACAATAAAAAGTAACAGTTATTAGCCGCAAAGATCACACTGAAAGTGAATTTGATGCACAATACGATGGGATCACATAATAACGGTAATCCAGGTAATCTCTACCGAGCCATGGATATCAATTCAATAAGAATGACCGTGACAGAGCATCCATAATTAAATTAGTAGCATCATTATATTATCATAAGCTATGGTCAAGAACTTGATTCGAGAGAAACTATTCAAACAACCAACGCATTTTCATTTTAATCCTATAAAAAAAACATTCTAACGCGAATTTATTTGAAAAACTGTGAATTTTCCAAATTTTCCCCTTTCATTTTACCTTCGTATCGTCTCAAAAAGATCGAATTCCACCCAAGGAATGTTCAGCAGACGAATAATTATTACGTAGAACTGAAATTTGTCCGATTGTTTCTTCTCTTTCTTCTGATCAACCACTGAACAGTAATCTCAATTTATACGTACGACGTACGTGTGTTTTCTTTCATTCAAACGGAACTTAATTTCCCATGTAAAAAAGGGGAAGAAGGAACGGAGTTAGCATTTTTTTTTCTCTCGTTGTTGTTTCGAATAAGAAGAAAAGAAACACATTAAATAAATACTTCCGTCGTTCATCGAGCACAAATTTGTCGCTACAGAGCTGAAACAAAACAAGTGTGCAAAGGGTGAAGTCACCGGTTCCGTGAACCACACAACGAATGACAGAATAAAAAGGAAACCGAAATCCAATTTTATTCCATTCCGTCTATTGTTGATTTTTCTCGTGTGTTTTTTTTTTGTATTCACTTCTCTTCATCATCATGTATCGTGTGAACGTATTGCCCACAAAAAAGGGATGCAAAGAGCTCACTACCTACCAAACGAACAGCTTTTTGGGAAAAGTCCGTGTGAAATTATGTTTGCAGTGCATTTGAAGCTAAATGTAATACAGTTGTATTAGCCAACTTGAGATCTTGATGCATCAAAAGATCACATAGATTGTTTGTGCTGAATGGATGCGCATTCTTTTCAAGTGGATTTCTTTTTTGTTTATATAAAAAAAAAAAACATTTTCACCTTATCGATTATTTATTTTTATTAAATATTTTCAGTTTTCGAATAAAAATTTTGATCATAGTCAACTTTAAAATACAAAATCACGGCATAAAAACTAGTTTTGAAGGCAGGGTGATTTTTTGTATTTTAAACACAAAGTGCACTATTTCAGTCAATATCCATTGGCTCTTCCAGATCGAAGGAAATTGGTTCCGTTTGAGTTTCCCGATGGTGGCTGCCTTCATTATAAAATACCCTAAATGGAGAACCACTTGTGTTAATCCACTCAAATCGGTTGTAAGAAGAGTTGGAGTGAAAATTCTTGAAGAATATATTATCACCGTTTGATCTAGGACGATTTATCAATTCATACTCCAGCCGAAGAATTCGTTCAAGAAGTAAACCAAGTCGATTCACCACCATCTTTAGTTGGTCAACAATCAACATTGAGAATTCTGCATTCATGATTGGATATGTCCAACGATTCCACAATCAAACGCAATTTCTACCAATGATTTCTATATTGTTAATGTTTATATTATAAAATAACACCACTTGGAATAAATACAAAAATGTGCATTACTTCATTATAATGAAGCTATAATTACAAATGAATTATACCAAATGAAGAATAATAAACCTCTACATAGACTATCGATTGCTGTATTTTTCGCAGTTTACTTATCTGAATTTCAAATAAGAAAGTTAGTGCAACGGAATTTGAAAGGTTTTCAAAAGCTTCACCTGTCTATGCTCAAATAGTTTTAAAGTTTAATAGATAACTGCATAAGAACATGGTCAAATTTCGAATGAAATAGAATTTTGTTTTCAATTTAGACTAGCAGTTCTGATTTTAAATTGAATTTTGAGTACTATATCGAAGTAAATCTTTGTGGTAATCCATTACAATCCTGTTTAATGAACAAAGGATCAATTCCAAGAAGAGAATTAAGAGCACAGTTGGACATGTTTACTTGCTATGGAGTTGTTTCAGTTTGAAAAAAAGATTCAAATAGATGTAACTCGTTTGCGATTACCAATTCGATTCTTCCATAGATTTCGACAAAATGGGTCGGCCAAGGTTATGGCTGCTACAAAATTTGTTTGAATATATTAGATTGAAGGAGTAGTCTTCAGCAGTAGTTGAAAGTTGGTTTAGGAGTAGTTGAAAATCGTTGTGATTAAAAAAAGGTCGACGGATTTTTTTTTTCTTCCAATAAGAAGAGAAAGATCAAGAGTTTTCCGAAATTCCGACACACCTTGAATCTCCACATTGAAATCTGTGTACACTGTACATGAGCGCAATTTGTTCAATGTAATTTACCTTAATCGTAGTAAGGATTGCCTCATCATAAAAGCATTGTCATTCGGCTATGGTCAGCTGTGGTTGCATGATAACATGCCATTATTCTTACTAGCCAAGGGGTGTTTTCCTCAGGTAAGAGAAAGTTGTGATTCAGAAGAAAAAAAAACTCATCCAAATTATATAAATTCGCATTTTGTTCGTATTTTTATTTCTCTGAATATTCTGTGTCACTTGGAGCCCAGTAGCTCCCAATGACTTTGAGTTGTTATAATAATTAGTGCTTTTAACGAATATTTACACATGATTGTTTCTCCTTTTTTTTTACAGAACAAAAGTATTACTTCTTTGTTGTTTCCTATTTTGAATGATGAAATAACTTAACATAATTCACTCTCACTTGATCTATTGTATCACCTACATTAAAAATTCCACGTCACTATCATTTGACATTTTCTATTGAATTTGTCGCACCAGTATTCATATAAGATACAGTTTGGAATAAATGAAAAAAAAAGTAATGGAATTTGGTCAATGATTTTTTTTCCACTCATTCACTGCTTTGATTTTTATGTAGCCAAAATATTTATTCCGTAGAGTAATATCTAAGAAGAAATTCCTTGTTTTTTTTTAAGAAGTAAAAAAAGAGTCTGTCTGAAATGTTTCCAAAATATAACATCTGTATCTAAAGAATGAAAAAAATACCCAAAGCTGGTATTTGATGAACAATTGAAAAATGTTGTTGCTATTCAAGATTTGTCCACATTTTTTTTTTTTACTAAATCTTACAAATTAGTGCCTCTATACACCATTCTAATTACAGACTTGATAGAAAAGAAATAGAAATGAATGAACAATTAATTGACCTAAATCATTTTGACTTAAACTCTATTGACTGTTCGTATCTAGTTGTTTTTGTTTGCTTATGAATGAAAACAATCGCTGTCTATTTGCTGTTCACTTGAATTCAGTGTTCGAGTATAGTAGGGTTGTTGTTTTCCATTTTGTTAAATTATGCTTGATGTTTCACGTTGTCGTTTCAGGTTGATTGTTGATTGTGTCCAAAGTGATTTACAGTGTAGCTAGAATTCGTAAGTAGCCGACAAAAGCGGATACAATAGTTAGTCCAATGCCCCAGACGAGTGCATAAACGGGTGACATCTGTAAACTGGAGGCACGATGCACGAAAGCAATTGTTGCACTGCTTACGATGCCACTAGTTGCCGGTGACACAACACCCATCACCAATATCAATATCGAAAAAAAGCGACCGAATTTGTGTTTTCGCAATGTAACAAATGCTATGAGTGCGGCACATGTATGGATGAATATTGACGAAATAAGACTCCATAGAGCTAGAAAAAAAAACATTTAAAAAAAATATGAAAGTAATTTTTTTGTTTTATTTATGGTCAACCGTTGGTTGCTTTTTGCGTAGAAAAAAACACACACACAAGAATACGCCTTCTTTAGCTCCAATTTACGGTTGAGCACAATAATTGAAAATAAAAGTATTTTGGACGAATATTGAACTAGATTACCTATATGATACCACATTGGCAAAAATGTTTCCAATATATGATTGCTTCGAAGGTTCACCACATCGGTCCATGTGTCAAGTTTTGACGTTCGTTCTTCGGTGAGCATATTTTTAACGTTCTTTCGGCCTTTTTATCAATTCACTAACAGAATCTCAATTTTGTTTCTTTGTTTATTTGTTTTTTTTTTTTTGTATCGAAATAACACTTTCGATAGTTGTACATAACACTAATTGTCCTTTGTTTAATTGCCAAGAAAATTTTCAATTTGCAAATCAATCGATCTTTTTTTTCCAATTTTTCCTTCCTGTCTTTCTCACTTTCTCTCTCTTTTTCTTTCTGTTGATTCTATTTCGTTCACAATGTTTTGTTACTAGAATTCAGGCACCATTTTATTTCGTACACAAACGAATTAATCGACATCGCAACTCAATGATGTGTCAATCTCGTCAATGTACTCGGTCGAAATTTGTGGGGGCGATTAAAAATGATTCGATTGATTTCTTTTCTATTCTCTTTGCTGTTCGATTGGCTCCTTCGATCCTATGCTGTGTTCGATCAATCGATTGGCATTGCTGTAATTTTGATACGGTGACGGTAGTTTACCGATGTTTGGGCTGTTAAAGGCGACGGTGGCTTCAAAAAATACCACCAACAACATCGAATCACAGCAATAGACTTTGGTTTCATCGTTCTTTTTCTGCAATAAAAATAAAAATTTCAATTAATTTTCAATGGCATTTAATACAAGTCAATCTCGTTTGTTTTCATACAATAATATAAAAAATGTCAAGGCCAATGGTGTGTTGCTTTTTTTTTTCTCGCCTGTTGTTGGATTGTTTATTTAAAGTTTCAATTAAATTAAACGGGTACAAAAATGCAATGGTCTTCCGTGACGAGACAAATGAATGAATGACTCACACTTGCACACCGAAAGCATGCAATCGAAAGTGAAACGACAAGGATGGCGACGACAGGGAATATAACTATTTTGGCCAAGGATAAATGCGCACATTACTGCTATAATTTCCAATCCAGCAAACTTTTGTGGAATTACTGAATTCAAGGTAAGAATCGCAAATATACTATTCTAAAGCTGATCCACTTTACAAGGTCTTGGAATCTTAGGTCAAACGACAATTGACACACACAAATCAAATGTTTAAATGTCAACCACCAAACATATACACACACTCACTCATCTCTGTATCATCGATATCAACACGCACCAATTCTTAATACATATTGCAAGTGTTTGACATGGTTTTGATTCGATTTTTATAAATCAACCATCGATTACCTATTCCAAATTGATGTTTTTGTACGGATGACACTCTTCTCGTTTGCATGTTTTGTTGTCGTTCAATTGTGATTCTCCAAAACACTTTAGCAGCAAAACCTTTTTCGTTTTTGTTTTAATGCTTTGTTTTGACAATGATGACTTTTTACTCGCTCTCTCTCTCTCTCTCTCTCTCTCGCTCTGTCGGGGTGTTGTTCTTTGCAACTGTATTTTATGCGAAGATAAATATTTGGTAAATAATTTAATTTGGCCGGAACCGCAGTTTATTCGATTTATTTTCCTTCTTCGTGTATTTTTGTCTTATTTTTAGCTTTTCGCTTCGATACACACATACACAATATATGACTTTTGTATATAAATCACCCGATCCAGAGAATAGCAGAGAATGAGACGATACAGAGGCAGTACCAACAATAATGTTTTTTCTGCGGCCGTTCAGTTGGTTGCAATGACTGTCAAAGTGCCAATCACAAGAGCGAATGTGTGTAAACACAACATTGAACGAAATGTGTTGAGTAGAAAACGTTGATGTTGACTAGATACAATTGAGTCACATTTACACTTAAATCACAATGAAATTATCAGCAAACTGATGTAAAACTTCAACGTAACGCAGGGAGTGAGTGTTAAGATAAGCGTCTAACAACGAAAACTACACTCAGCCCGTGATTATTTGTCGTTTTGCTATTGGACCAAAGACAAAGAGTGATTTCAGGATGAATTCTACCCAGCAATTGATTCAAGTTTTTGTGTATGGCACTTTGAAGAGAGGCGAACCAAACCATCACTGGTTGACGAACAAAGAAAATGGATTTGCACAATTTGTGAGCAGCGGTAAAACCGACACCCAATTTCCACTCATCGTAGCAACAAAGTATAACATTCCATTTTTACTGAATATACCTGCAACTGGCCACAGTATCAATGGTGAAATCTATTCCGTTGATGGAACAATGCTCAGAAATTTAGACGAACTCGAAGACTATCCAGAACTTTATGATCGAAACATTTTCACAATCAACGGATCCGATGGGTATGTACCTTTACATTTTACTATCAATTTTTTTAGGTCGATCGTATCACATTCAAAACATGCACATTATTCTGTCAAACATTCATTCGAAAGCTACGCGTGTGTAAACAGTGCTTTATGCACAGATGGAGACGCGATTCATTTCGCAAGTTCAATTGGAAGTTTAGCCCAATTATTTTTTTTTTTTGAGCAGTTTTGATTGGTTTGCGATCTAAAAAGTTAATTTTGGTATAAAATTTCATTTGCAAATTTACATTCATCTCTTACAATTTCCCATGCAGCAAGTCACATCAATGTTGGATTTATATGCTCAAACGATTCCCAGATGACTTTCTGAACAAGTACAAATTCTTGAGCGAATATCGAAATTCAGTGGAGCAGCCATACCGTGAGACGTTTGTATTTTTATATGAAAAAAAAATTGTGCAGAAGAATTTATCGATTTTGTTGTTCATTTCAGTTATTTAGATACGTGCACTCCGGATGATCTATACACTTCCTAGGTGACTCAGACCATGGCCGCTATTCGTTCCGGATGATTTTTTTTTTGGATGACATGTACAAACAAGGACTAAGAATCGTATAAATTAAATGCACCATACAGTTTTCAATGCCAATACTTGTGAGAATATTCCGAAAATGTTACTGTTTTCCTTTTAAAGTTTGTTAAAAGAAAATGTTCCTCGAAAAATTGTATTTCATTACATTTAATCAGTCAATTTGCATAAATGTAGATTTTTTAAACTTTTTTCGATTGGCAGACCAAATGAGAGATTTAGATTGTAAATGTTTGATTTCAAATTCAATTCCTCAAATAAATGAAATTGTTTCTCTTACCACACACTTTGATTAAATGGAAGATGATAATTGTTTTAAAAAAAATTGAACAGTCGTTAAAATTGTGACATCAATAATTTTGTCATTTTCAATCGAATGAGAAGAAAATCAAATACGCGTTGATTAACATGTATCAAATACGAGTAATAGTCACCAAAATAGCATATTGAGATTTTGTAGCAAAAATGCATTCCGTTTGAATTGTAAAATAATGAAAAACTAATTTTGTCTCGACCATGCATACCCCGTGTGAAAAAATAGTAACTGAGCAGTCAGTTAACTAATTTGTGACAAAAATGACTTACTTTGATTGACATTTCAGTACAAAGTGTAGTGTAAGTCTATCATAGTTAACTGAAATCATTTGAAGTTACAAGTCAATCTAAGTTGCTTCATTTGGGACCAAGTGATTTTCTTAGAACAAAAATATAAATTCAATCAACTAAAGTCAACTGAAGTTATAGTCAGTCAGTCATTTCTTTTTCACACGGGACACCTTGTGTCTGAATTTATTGAATATATCATCTCATTCGAAATACTTCTTTTCCGTTTTTTTAACTTCTGCATCTATTTCTTGCATACTTTTTATGAATACTCAAAAATTTGTCAAATTAAATTGAATTTTTTTTTTAAATTCTTTTCAAACTCTTATAAGCAGTGTACAGTTTATTGAAACAGTTGGATAAATTGGGTTTGGTAACAAAATGCACATTTCTTTTTATCTTTTAATTTTGGCATTACCAAACATACTCACGGGAGCTATTGCTAGAGATGGAAACGATTTGAAGATCGCCGCAACAGAATTACAGCCCCTTAGCAGAAATCATGGAGTGAGCTTGGATCAAATTCCCGTTTCTGAGAGCCTTTCACGCGCAAAACGAGCACCCAAACGGAGAAAAGGTGAAAAATCGAAAAATAAAAAGAAATCAACTTTGGTGGCCGGCATTCAATTCACACATCATTTTTAATTGTTGTTAATGAAAACTATTTGTGTGAAATAAAAATGTTAATTACATCGAATAGTGTTTAAAAATATTATTCAATTGTTCATACTTTGTATTCTAGTGTTTATTACATAAATTTATACTTTTCATCGTGGGCCATCGATCACTATGCCACCGGTCACACTTACCAACATTGAATGGAAACAGAGGTCAGGGAGTGGATAAGTTTTCATTTGATTTGAGATTTTTTTCTAAATCAAAACAGGAATTAACATTTTAGAAAACAAATAGATCGAAACATGGAAAGTATCATACAAATGACTGTTGGTGTAAAAAAAAAGAATTGGAGATGCCGAGCATTGATCTCGGTACCTCTCA